CCTTCTAGAGAGATTTCAGGCTTGATTTAATCTGGAATTCACTTATTTGTCCTTTTGGCAGTCCACAGTATCCATAAAACTCTCCTCCAGTACCACCAGAGGTCATTTCAGGGGGGAACGCGGGGGATCGCAGTTCCCCCGGGTGAGGTACGGGGGGCGGGGCACATGACGAAGCCCCGCCCCCTGCTTCCGGCCGCCCTGCTTCCGGCCCTCATTCAGCCAGGAGGAGGCAGGATAAGAGGGAAGGTAAGTTGCTTCCTCCCTGCCTCTCCCCACCCCTGCCTGCCTTTGTGGGGCTTCCTTGCACTCCCGCCGTCCTTGCAGGTCCACCGCCGGGCCCCTCATGGGCTGCAAGGCCGGCAGCAGCGGCCGGGACCGTTGGGGGCAGGGTGTGTGGCCTTATGACACACTTCCTGTGATGTCAGGGGGTGTGGCATATGCTAATGAGTTCCCCTAGCTCTTTTTCTACGAAATGACCCCTGAGTACCACATCTCAAATGAATCAATTTTCTTTCTGTCAGCTTTCTTCATTGTCCAGCTTTCTCATCTATACATAGTAATGGGGAATAACATAGCATGAATATTGTGACCTCAGTCGCCATCAACACTTCCTTTTCTAGCTCCTTCCTGGCTGCTCTTCCCGGTCTCCGTCTCCTTCCGATTTCTGGGTTGCCAGTCTCCCTTTTGGTTGATGATGGCGCCAAGGAATAGAAAATCTTGTACAGTTTCAGCTTCTTCATTGTCATACTTAAAGCTGTATAATTGTCTACTTGGTGTTCAGCTGTAATCCTGCTTTGGCACTTTCTCCTTTAACCTTCATTGGTAGTTATGTCAAGTCTATACTATTTTCAGCCAGTGATATTGTATCAACTACATATATGCATATTAATGTTCCTTCCTGCAATTTTCACTCCACCTCCATCTAAATCTAATCCGTCTTTTCATGTGATATGTTCTGCATATAAAATACTTCCTAGTCTGACACAAAGGCCTTTTCCCGAGATCCATCTGGGAGAGAAAAAAGATCCACTCAAGGCTTTAAGCTATCAGAGCAGGCATTTTTAATAAGATGATCATTGGATGCAAAAGGTCGGGGTCTAGAATTCCAAAAGAAAGTCCACCAATTCTGTTCTCAAACATAATTCACTTTAACCCCCCTTTCTGAGTACACTCTGCATTCTTTCTAGGGAGAAAAGGGAAATAAGCCCTTTACACATTTTTCATGGGAGATAAGGATGAAACAGGCCCTTGACTGAGATAAGGTTGCTCAGAGATCAGCAAGTCAAAGAACAGATTGATTGATTGATTGATTATTAATTTTATTCCATTTGTATCTTGCCCTACCCCACAAGTGGGCGGTTAGGGAGGAATTAACATCTTTAAAATTTATCAAGCCAAGACAGACTTGCAATTTAGAAGCCATTATAAGAATGTCAGTATTACCTGACAGTGTAACTTTCAAGATACATGTAAAATTCCTTAACATAAAAATGAACTGGATAAAATTTGGTTGACAACAGATGAGAAAATGATTAGAAACTTATATAATTTTTCATTAGATATTAGATGCAGGATATAGGACATAATATAGACTTAGATGACTGGCAAAAAACCTGGAAAGCAGCTAAACTTATGCGATCTACCTCCTATAAAGAAAACATATATAAGATTTTTCATAGATGGTATTGGTCTCCGGATAAAATAGCAAAGTATTATTCAAATGTATCAAACAAATGTTGGAAATGTAAACATAATGTGGGTACATACTATAATATGTGGTGGAGGTGTGGAAAAATTCATAAATTTTGGTGTATGATCTGTAAAATAATACAAGAAATAATGAATATTGGCACTCACTCCTGAAATATACTTGCTGAATATCTTACCAGATTGTTGTAATCAAGCTGAACGTTATATTATAGCTTATATTTTAACATCTGCTAGAATACTTCTAGCCAAATGTTGGAAAACAGATAGAACTCCCTCAAAAGAAGACTTAATACATAAACTGCTAGAAATAGCTGAAATGGATAGGCTAAATGTTGTATTACAAGATAAAGATGATAAGTTGTACCTTAAGCATTGTTCCAAAGTGTATAGATGGTTGAGTAATAATGTGGTTCTAGACTCGAAAGTATATATAATGTAATGTCAATTTGCTATATTATTATAACTTTATAAATAAAGCTATTAAATGTTTAAAAACCTCCAAAGAAGGAGAGCCCACCACCTCCTGTGGAAGCCTGTTCCACTGAGGAACCACTCTAACTGTCAGGAAATTCTTCTTCATGTTTAGCCAAAAACTCCTCTGATTTAATTTCAACCCATTGGTTCTGGTCCGACCTTCTGGGGCAACAGAAAACAACTCCACACCATCCTCTCTATGACAGCCCTTCAAGTACTTGAAGATGGTTATCATATCACCGCTCAGTCGTCTCCTCTCCAGGCTAAACATACCCGGCTCCTTCAATCATAGCTCACAAACTGTATCATCTTTGCTAAGGGCCTTCATACACATCTGATTTGTGGAGTGGCTGGGGGTTTGCGTGATAGTGTTGGTGTAGGTTTCACACATTATGGGGAGACAGCAAATAAAAAGAAACAGCAGGTGAGTGCACATCTCCTGAGTCTCTGGCTCAGTAATCTGTCATGGATTTCAGAGAGATGCGTGTGGGTGTAAAACCTCTGACTTGCCATTCTTGGTCTCTGGAGGCAGGAACTCGCATAATCCAAGGAGGAGTCTGGGGATGTTGAGCTTCTTGTCCCCCTCCCCCGGGACAAGGTCCGGTCTGAAGGGCCAGGAATCCCTCTGGATTAGGTTGCTTCCCACTCCTGCGTTCGCCATGGGTGTTGGTCTTCTGGTTCTGTGCCAGGTGCCTTTTATGTGTGGGATGTGTGGATCCAAGAACTCCCCCGTGTCACTTGGATAGCTGTGTTGTTGATGAGTTAGGATCTGGTATGGGCCTTCCCACTTCATCCAAATGTAGCCGCCAGGGCAGTTGTCAAGACATGCGATGTCTGTGGAAACAGTCTGAGATTCTAAAACCTGATCATTTCAATACTGCATTCAGCCGTAACACATTTAGTCCTATCAGTAAAAATTTCTGAGATGGTGTTTCTGTGGGGTTGAAGGCAAAGGCCTTCCAAACAGAATTACAAAGGGTGTCAGTTGATGTAAACCCTCCGTACAATGGCAGTTCAGTGAAATCAAGGTGCTGTTGTTGAAATGGAACATAAACCCATGGATGTGCACTAAGAGGTTGTGTGGGGGCTGGTGTATATTTTTGACCATGATTTTAACATTTGAGTAACTACCCTCCCTCTGTGGGCAGACAGCATGCGCAACTGGCAATAGATACAAGAGGGCATGGTTGGAAAAGGAACGTCGGGTCACCCCAGCACTGGCCCACGAGTTCTTTTTCCCACCAGGGGGCTTGCGGTTGTAGTTCAGAGAAATACGCATGAAGATCAAGGATGAACGTGGGAGCAGAGATGGGGTGGGGGGCATAGGAGTATTACAGGCAGACCCATGAGGTGGGTCAATCAGTATTCCCTGTTGCAGGGGTCATTTCGTAGAAAAAGAGCTAGGGGAACTCATTAGCATAACTCATTAGCATATGCCACACCCCCTGACATCAGGGGCCCGGTGGTGGACCTGCAAGGCCAGCGGGAGTGCGAGGAAGCCCAGAGAAGGCCCTCCCTGGCCCCAGGCGGGCAGGGGTGGGGAGAGGCGGGGAGGAAGCAATTTACCCTCCCTCTTCTCTTGCCTCCTCCTGGCTGAATGAGGGCTGGAAGCGGGGTGACTGGAAGCAGGGGGCGGGGCTTCGTCATGTGCCCCCCCCTCACCTCACCCGGGGGAACTGTGTTCCCCCGCGTTCCCCCCCGAAATGACCTCTGCCCTGTTGTAACAACACTTTGATGACCAGGGTGATCCCCTCAATCTGTTCGTAGATAAAGGGTATTGGGCAATTTTGTGGGGAAATTAACATTGGGCCAGATTATAATCTTAACAGGATCTGCTACTCATGAGCTTCCAACATCATGAGATTTGGTAGCCCACAAGGAGGCAGGCAAGATATTCAGAAAATCTTTTGCAGGTTCCTCTGGACCCTCTGCTTCTGTTGCGGTCAGCATAAACACATTTCTGAGCGAAATCAGATGGTGGCAGGGTCACACTGAGGGAACCATCCAGTTTACAATCAATTGTAGCACCAAATGTACACAAACAACAAATTAACAGGGGAGGCTAGGTAAATTCGGACACGGCTTCGTACCTTGCATGGCCCTGAAGAAACAGAAACGGGTGCTGACAGAACATGGGGATGACTGAACCACCCACACCTGAAGCCAGTACAGTGCCAGATGGGGCAGGAAATGGTGCCTCCTGCTGACGAATTGTGGCGTAACAGGCACCTGTGTCCACTAAGCAAGGGGAAGAATGAGAATTAACAATTAAAGTCACGACAGGTCAGTGAGTGGTGCCATGCCATGCTGTAAACTGGCTCTGGGAAAGCAGGTGCCAGGGGCTGAATGCCTACATCCAGCTGGTTGGCCTGGCGCTGGCTTCTTTGTCTCTTCCTACAGTTATGGGCAAAATGGCCCAAAATCCCACAATAATGGCAAGCTTGTCTATCGTTGGAAAACCGTTGGGTTGCACCCTGCTGTGATGGTGGGCATCATTGGGGTCCATTATTTCTCGGTGCGCCTTGCTTTGTTTTGTATTCCTGCATTTGCAAACCTATGAGCTTAGTGGAGAGATTTGCTTCCTTGCGTTTCTCCTCATCTTGGTCCTACCAGAGCTGAGTGGCTCTGCTTGTACAATTTTACTAGGGGCCCATTCAGGAGAGCGCAGCACAAAAATTTTAATTTTCTTTGTCAGTTCGGGGAGAAGAC